GCCTCCATTTCAGCAAATATATTACATTTATTACAGGTACCATCATCATTGAAGTAGGCAGGGGAATAGCTAAACACAGCCGCCAGACTGCCCGCCGGGCTACATTTTACAATACTAATTGCAAATTAGCTGGGCTGCCGGGCTACACACCTAACACAACCGAAACACCTGACCCATTGCTGGGACCGAAGCTCCGGACATTAACCCATGCTATGATTGTAACATTAAATTTAATTCACATGAACGCGCAGCCGGACCGGCTTGTAAACAATGGGCTGGAGATCAACACAGAAAGAGGGTGTGTGAGGTCATGCTATACTCCAGATGAAATTACACCTCTAGTTCTTCACATAGCAATTTTTTAATTCCTTCAATCTAGAAATGATGAATTTCGCTTATTGCCCCTTTAAATCATTCTCTGTCAAGTCTGCGTTTAGTTAGTATGTCATTCATTACAGTTTTATCCGGAACACCTCTGTTCTCTTACATCTGCTTTGAGGCATCAAGCTCAGAGGATTTCCACAGTTGGGAATGTTTTTAATTTCCTGAAAGTTTTCCCAAGCATCCTGGCAACTAGGAAATTCAAGACTTTTTAAAGGCAGCAACTTTGACGATAATTCCAAGAAGTAGCAAGTGTTTTGTTGAATGCCCTGAATAATGTGCCGGCTCAAAGCTAATAACCCTCAAAAGCGTAACCCAGGCCCATTATATTCATATTAGAATATGAACTCAAGTATTGTAGAGTGATTGCATGAAGGTTCTCCATGCGAACATACACTGTCACTCACTTTTTCAGTGAAGTTGTGCGGCAGCATGTGCTGGCTGATGAAAGATGTATCATGATAATCCCTGTAAAATTTGTTGAATTAAATGCTGGGAAAAGGAGATTTCCTCGACTAGTGAGCTTTGTGTTAATCCAACAGAAAACAAAATATTTAAAAATAAGTTCATCTTTCTGGAAGTACCAAATACATGCATAGTTTTAGGTGATGTCACCTCTTAATTTGTGTGATGATATAATTGATGGATTTCAGTATTTAATGCGCTTCATGCAGATTTAATTCCTCTTTCAGGCTGTTTCATGATGTTTGCTTTGTTTAAGATGATGACACTGCAATTTTAATTTTTTTTTACTAACATCATGTCCTCTCCTCGGCCAGTCGTTGACCGTGGGATGTGAGACGGTGGATATGACTCTGAGAAGAAACGGACTGGGACAACTGGGCTTCCATGTTCGCCTGGACGGCACTGTGGCTGAGGTACCGTCAGATGACCATCTGCCACGCCAGATCTCAAATACTCGTCTATGAAGATTCTTGGCTGCACATAACTGGCTTGTTTTAAGACTTTCTTTTTTTGATGGTTTTCCGATGCAGGTGGAGGAATACGGCTTTGCCTGGCAGGCGGGACTGAGACAGGGCAGCCGTTTGGTGGAGATTTGCAAGGTGGCCGCGGTTACGCTGACTCATGAGCAGATGATTGACCTGCTGAGGACGTCGGTCACGGTCAAAGTGGTCATCATTCCTCCGTATGAAGAGGGGGGGCCTCGCAGGTGTGTTGAGACCTCTTTGAAGCTGAACTAATGATTCATTTCTAAACAGCCGTGGTGAATACAGATGTTGAGGCAGCAGGTGACGGCTCTGCTGAGTGTTAGCAGGCAGTAGTGGAAGGACAACAGCGAGCCAGAGTGAGCGCACACACACATAAGTATGGAAGCGGTAGTGGCCAGACTCCAATGTTCTGAGAGGATTTTGTGTGGGAGTGTGTGAAAAGAGGAAGCGAACGAACAGAGAGAAAGAACGATGTGTGGTTCGAGAGGAAATAGGCGGAATGAGGCAAAAAAGAAAGAAGCATTTGTTTAACGGGAATTAACCAAAATCTGCCTTTCTTTGTCTCTCCCTCCTTCATATCTCGTCTCATCTCGCTCAGCCTTGTTTCCCCTCCTCCCACAATCTATTTCTTTTCCCTGCCGTCATCCTTTTCCAACCTTTCATCTACACACACAGCCTTGACAAAGACAGAATAACGAGGCCTTATGAGACGCTGATGTGGTGTTACAGAACAGTTACGGAGGTGAAGAAATAACCACAGTGTGTGTGTGTGTGTGTGTGTGTGTGCGCGCGCGCGCATGTGTGTGTTTCTGACTGAGAACCAGAGCTTTTAAATACAGTAATTGTGGCTGGCTGTGTGATCGCACAGTGGTTAGATATCTTTAATGTTGGAGGCAGTTTAATTACACCAACTTAAATCCCTTTGACACACACACACACACACACACTCTCTCAAGTAGCAGCTGATAATTAGAGTCTTGTATTTCACTCTTCCCCCCTCTCTTTCTCTCTCCCTCTCTCTAACTCGTTTGTCGTTGTGTGCCAAGCAAGCAGATTGCATGAGATTAAGGCCTGGAATCTGCAGGGGGAAAAAAAAATGGAGACCATAAATAAATAAATAAATAAAGGAGTGGAAGTGATTAATTAAAAATGCATGCCCTGTGCGAATGAAAAGGACAGAAAAGAGGGAGGGATGGAGAGATAGAGAGAGGCAGGGTTTATCGAGTTGGAGAGGCAGAGAAGCGCTCGGTGAGGACGACGTGTCTCAACACCACCGAGAGTGAGAGAGGTGGGTGGAGGAGAGAAAGAAAGAGAAACTAGAGTTGGAAGTGGTTTTTCCCTTTCTGCTCCGACTCGTGCTCACGCAAGATGGACGGATACACTGAAGGCAAGGTGTGATGCTGTAGTGTGTTTGACCACGTGTGTGTGTGTTTTGGGGCGCTCCAGCTGTGTCACCTCCTCCAGTGTGATGGAAGAAACACTGCATGTCAACATTGGTAGGCTCTGCTCTTTCTAAGGTTTGTACTGCTGCTGTGCAACTGTGTTGATGTTGGTTGAGTTAGTATTTCTTGATTGATCCAAGCGTCTTGACCATGTGTTGTGTTGATGTTCATTGATTAGTGATTATCATCTGTTTGTGCTAGTGTTCGAATGTGTTTGTGCATTGTGTTTACATCTCTTCAGCTTTTATTTGATGATGTTTCACATTCTTGTAGCAGAGTAAATAAGAGAGTTTAGTCTGACCGGGCTCTGCAATGAATCCAGGTTAAATATGCTAGAAACAGTTCATCCAAATTAATGAACTTCATCATTTCTGCTCACAAAACTACATCAACATATCTTTCATTGGAGGTACGCTATGCAGGATTTTTGGTTACTGTAGGTAAACACGCTCACCAGTGAGAATAAAAGTAAAAGCCAGCCCCAGATACAATCTTGTTTGTTGTTTCGCCTTGCTATATTTGCACTTTTTCCACGCTGTGTCTCTTAAATGCCTGCTGCCCACAGTCTGGCACCTGGTCGCTGCCTTTTTATAAAGCCCCGACCTCAGCTGAGTGTGTCGGGGTACACACCCATAAACGTCCCAAAGAAGAAAATAAAGACAGAGGGCAGAGTCTCTGCAGATAAATACACCGCCACACACTTATAGTGGTTCATAAGTGATGATTGAGAGGGATTACTTCTGTATGAGTCTATACATTGTTGTTTAGGACAACCCTGCATGTTATATCTTCAAATAATGGCCCTGTTATTCAGAATAAACCTAACCATTTACTGGGCACAGTTTTAATTGGAACTATTATCTGGTGAAGAAGCCTTGAGCCTCTTGAGCCTCTCGATCCACCATAGTCCCAAATGTCTATTTCAGGGGGGGGCAGTGGGTCTATAGGGAGGGATAACAGGTCAACAGTACACGTCACATAGAAGTGGAATACATCATCTGAGAGCTGGAAACCAAAAGATTAATCTGAGATTCACCTCACCACTGTGCATGAAGTTTTTCTAGCCATAAATCTGTATTGAACATTGTGTTTTGGTTAGGGACCTCTTCAAAGTTTGAAAGTTGAATGTTTAGGGGCTATGATATGATGGCCATTCTCCTGCTCAATTATGTCTCATTAGTGCCTCTTCAATTTTTGGGTTGGTACCATTTGTTGCACAAATGCTAAATTTAAACATTTTTGACCCCTCAAGAATTGATCAAATTCCATCCAAAATACCACATTAACACACTAAGACCTTGAAGAATGCCATAAAAAAATCCATGCTGGGATTTGGTCTCAAAAACTTTTGATATTTGTTAGGTTTCTGTAAGAATTGCATTTTTTAGTGATTGGATGGTGAGCACGTCTGCTTTGATGACTGCTGAGTAACTCTCTTGTTATATACCCATGAAAGCTGTATTTCATCATGTTTGTGGTTGTAAACTGTAGCTTCAAAACTTAGCCGGCTGCAGCCTCAGAAAAACTCTTCTCTCTTATTTAAATCTTTGCCGTGTTGTGTTTGTTTCACTTAAAGTTTTTTTTTTTCTTTAAGCCTACTCCTGCCTTGTTTCTCTTTGACACCATTTCTCCACTGTCATGGCCGCCCTTCTCTCTCCCTCATCTCCTTTCTCTTCCTCTCGGCATTTGTCTCGTCTTGAATACATCCTCTATGCATATTTGATGCCTCCTGCCCTCCTGTAATAGGCTGTGTGAATGAAATAATGATGATGTGTAATAGATATGTGCTGGATATCGAGCTGGAGGCTAGCACGATTATATTTCAGATGAGAGTTGTTTCTTTAGTTGATAAATAAAGATTTATTGACCAGTTTTCACACTAAACTCAACACAGAAGCCTCAGTTCTGGTTCAGCTGTAGTTCAGGTCTTCAGAGAGGACGCTGCTGCTCATCACTGTGTTTTACTGAGCTGAGGATCAAAATCTGTGGATGACAGCTGTGTCAAGCATTTGATTAATTTGTGCTGGACGTCCCTTTCTCCTTCTGTCTCGTCAGGGGCTGCACAGAGGAGTATGAGATGAAGACCATGGAGCAGAAGCCAGAACCTGAGCCTCTAGCGGCAGGCTACCGACCATCCCCTCGCCCCATGTGGCGATGGGACAGCCCACCTATTCCTCCGGGACTCCACAGTGCCCCCAACCCACAGCGCTGGGCTCCGATGGGTCCCCCACCTCATCCACTGCCACGCTCATACAAGAACCAGATGCCTGCTCCCTACAGGGAGCCACAGCACCTCAAGAGGTGAGCTCCAGAGAAGTATACTGCTATTATCAGCAGCATCCATATTTGCGTCTTATTTATCAAGATGATCTGATATTGATTAACTGAGGTTTGTAACGTAATTTTCACCAGTACGTTAAAGGTCCAGTGTGTAGGATTGAGCGTTATCGATTGACAGAAATTGTATATAATATTCATAACTATGCTCCCATCAGTTTAGAATCATGTAAAACTAGGAATCATTGTTTTCACTACCTTAAAATATTTATATCTGCATACGGAACAGGTCCTCTTCCACACCATGTTGCACCATCATGTTTCTACAGCAGCCCAGAGTGCACATATCTACTCCTGGCTGTAGGCAGGGGTATTTCTGCATGTTGGTCGGCCACCATAGTTCTCCTACACACTTGACACAGGGGAGAAGTTTCAGTTCTGCAACCTCACCTCCAGATACCATTAAATCCTACACACTTGACCTTTAAATGTGGTCCTCCTCTGTAAAAACTAACAATCCAGTTTGCAAAGGCTCAGTAGGTTATAAGTGTTCGACCTTTCAGTACTTTGTTGAGGATAGTCTTCTAAAGGAATGAATATATTTAAACAGATCCTGACCAGATCTGACGAAAACTCTTTACTTTTGCAGCATGTTTCTCACTTTATGTAGATTTAGATTACGCATACTCTTGTAGCAGCCTTACTCGTCTGCTTCACCTTGCTGTGATCTGATTGTTTTTCTGTTGGTCGTCCAGCAGGCCGGTGAGCTACCCAGAGAACCACTACAGTCTGTCTCCTGCAGGAGGCGACAGAGTACTGCCCTACAGAAACCCCTCAGCCAGCTTCTCCTCGCCCTCCTCAGGCCTGGTCAGCCTCGCCACGATGGGGCCGCCTGGAATCACACCGGGCCCCTTCGTGCGCTACAAACCCTCCCCCGACAGGTGTGTGTGGTCTTCTGTTCTCCGAGCTCTCCTTCTTTGATCCTCGATTAAACATGTCCGATGTTAACAACTGTTTTGCTGCTTAGAGGGTGGATTATATCTGTTGGTAAGATGAGGATGAATAATGTGTTCAGGTCTGCAGCAAGGCGTGTATGAACACACTGTCTCCTCGAGGAAGGATCTGTTGTGTGGGCGGCTCTTCCTCACTGTGTGGAGGTTGATAACATCTCGCCCAACAGGAGAAATGTCTTTTATTCAGCTGCCATCAGGATGCAAAACAGAAACTGAAATTTAAATCCAAACTCTACATTTTTTAAGGCTTGCTTTGGAGTGTTATTTCAGTGTATTGTGCATGTTTTAGTTAACATTATCCTCTGTGTGCGTGTGTGTGTGGGTACCACTGTATGAATATGTATGACTGCATCTAATTAACCCACATGTGTTACTTATTTCGTATATGACAGACAGTAGCATGAATGTGTTAATTAATCAACTGCTGTCCCCCCTCCTGTGATCCGTCTGTGTAGATATGGAGCAGGACAGCGCTCCCTGCTGCCGTATGAGCCCCACCTCAGTGTGGACATTACCTCCAGCGGGGAGTCTTCCTCAGGCTTCACCAGTCAGGACAGCACCATCGAGCGCTGCAAAACAGGTACACCACCTTCACAAAACAAAGAGAATTATCACCTGACTCAGCAGCTCCCCTCAGCTCCGTAGAGCTTTAGGGATTTTAAGCTCTTTGTTTTGGTGTTTTGGCTAGTTTAGTGTTATTCCTCAAAATATATTCAACCTCTCATCAATGTTTTCAGTCACAGCAAGCAGCTGTTTTCAGAAAAAAAAAAGCTCTTTAAACTCACTGTACAGTACTCGCTCATCACCGAACAACTGACAGACACAGTTAGCGACTGTCTGGTGAACATACTGGAGCAGATACTCTTCTCTGGAGTTGGTAGAGACCAAAAACAGTGGTAAAAGAGAGTAAATGTTGGACTCATTCATCAGGTGGCCAAAAACAGGACTCCGAATGAATCATAATGTTACCTTGTATCTGTTTGATGTGTAAACTGGCAACTGTTTGCTAACACGTTCACCATATCAACCTAAAAGGTGGTGATATGTGGCCAAAAAGAATTTATTACAGACTTATCTTTAACTACATTCATGGTCTCTATATTGTGTCAAAGTGTGTGTGTTGTACAGTAGAGATAATGGAGGGTGATTTTGTGGGTGGGTGGAGGTCAGTGTTTAAATGTGCCATAAGTATTTAATCCTCTTTGCCAACCATGGAGGTTCAGTGTAATTTTCTTTAATCCTGCGAGTGTCTGTGTGTGTTTTCTGTCTAGAACCCCTCTGGCATGTCCCAGCATCGTCGTCTCGGGGACCGGGTGGTGGCGGAGGGGGGCAGAGGAGAATAACCAGACAGGATGTCCCAGGGAAAGACTCTCCAAACAGACACTCGAAGGTCAGACTCGTCACCGCCCAGTTTTATTGCCCATTTTCTTGGCCACTGTGAGTGCGTCTGAATGTTTCCTTGTGTCCTCTGCAGGGCGAGACTCAGTACTCCAGCCACTCCAGCAGTAACACTCTGTCCAGTAACGCCTCCAGCAGCCACAGCGACGAGCGCTGGTTTGACGGAGGAGCTGGAGGAGAGCGAGGAGGCGGGGGTTGCCTTGGTGACCCAGCCGACCCTGACCCAGTCCTTCTCAACAAGGGGGGGTCTAACGACAGCGGCATCGATGCCTCGACTCACTACAACAACACTCGCCACGGAAACATGTCCAACAGCCAATCCCTCAAGCCTATGCATGGCTTTGCCGCCTACAGTGGCGTCCAGGAGCTGTCCGTGGGAAGGAGCAGTGGTGGCAGCAGTGGCAGCGGAGAAGCGAGGAGACGGGAGTCTTCACCCATCATACCAGCTGCGGCCAACCAGAACAAAGGGTACCGGACCAGGACATTCCCGCCTCCTGGCTCCAGCGCTGATAAAATGGATGCTCTCAAACCCAGGTAAGAGAACGACTCACTGATGAGATGCATCTTTTATGGCATTTTTTATGAAGCTAATATTAACTAACATTAACCTCAATGAATGACATGGCAGATCTGTGCTGAGTGTTGCTTTACATTCATAAATCTTTAACGCTGCCGAGCTTAATGGAGAATATGCGTACTTGGTAATAATTTGAGGAATCTTTCGTGAATGATAAAGCAGCAGCGTTCACCAGATCCTTTTCAAACAACATGCAAATCTATCATTAAAGGGTACATTAAGGATTAAAGCAGCCTAATCCTTGTGAAACATACAGATCATCATGTGATCTCTTCTGCTGGTGCACTTGCCTCCCCCCACATCGTAAACGCATGCAGGCACAAAACACAAACATGCACAGGCTTCGACTGCTCTGTGCTGGATTAAAACAATCTGTGTTTAAACCCTGAGCGCCATCGACTCTGGTGTTGCAGTCTGTGCCTGGGGTGTGTCGGACCGTCATCAAAATATAGACATAAATTTAAAACAAAAGGCTTTAGGACACAGATGATTCATCACAGGTACTGTGCACAGTTAAACAGATGTGGGGGTTTTGTTTTGGTCACATTATTACAGTAGATGTTATTGGGTGATAGATATAGCAGTTGTAGTTCATTACTCTTCTGCTGTTTACCTTTGCTGTCAGTGGTGTTGTATCAGCAGTCAGTAGCATAGTATCTGCTGTGTGATACAGACAACACTACCTCCACTTAATTGCACACTCTGTCTTCATTGCCTGATCAATGAAAAGGAGGAAAGGAAGATGCGTGCTATGAGAATAAATTATGCCTGTGTAGAAAGACAAACAAAAAGAGTAGTAAAAAAAAACAAAAAAAAACTCAGTTTACCTTCTGTGTCTGTGCTCTTAAAATTTATTTCACATTTTAATGGCAGACTTACATGCCAGAGGATCACCCACTCACTCAATCACATGATTATTAGGTCCTCTTTCCTAAAGGAGTAGTTCCATATTTTGGGAAGGATGCTTATTGGCTTTCTTTTCCAGAGTTGATGAGGAGGTCAGTAACTCTCTCATATCACCTACAGCCAGCAGATGGTTAGCTTAGCTTAGCACAAAGACTGGAAACGGGGAAACAGCTAGTCTGGCTCTGTCCAAATTTAACAAAAAAATCACCCACTGGTCGGCTGATTTTTGCCTATTCTCCAAAAAAACTGTTCCTTTAACTCGCTGACGAGAGGAAGATCTTTTTGTGACTTGTAATATTGGAATTGATCCTGCAAAGGGGCAAATAATTAAACCATATAATGTAAAATGCTTTATTTTAGCACAGAATTAATCTTTTGTAAATTTTTAGTTCAGCTGGAGAAAATTATTTTCCCTGCATGTCCCTTCCTGTGATCTTAATATCTTGTTCTTTTCGATTTTGTTAATGTACGTTGCATCATCTATCTGTGACATTGTCTGTTGAGTTAATGATATTAATCTTTTCCTGTGAAAAGAAGGGTGGACAAGCAGACATTGCCCACCCTCTGTAAAGATGTTGAGTGAACTAATTATACTAAAGTCGCTGCCTCTGAGAACCTTCTTCACTAGCTTTTTTTTTCAACAGTTTATAAAAAGGCTTTCCCTCCTGTATTACACTAGATTGTGATGTATTAATTACATATGTATCTGTGTGCCTTGTCTGTCCTTTCAGGGCCTACACACCGCAGGGTTACAAGACTCCAACAGCCGAGAAAGCCCAGCCCGTCCGAGCCGCTACGACGACGCCTACTTCAGCTCAGCTGAGCTCCATCCCTCTGTCCAGCTCCGCCCCCAAGGCCTTTTATGGGAAGAGCAGGCCAAGCGCTTGGCAGAACGAGGACAGCAGCCCGTCGCCTTCAAATGCAACCTCCTCTGAGAGCAACAACAAGAAGTAAGTTAGTAACTGAGAGCTTCAAATGAGCAGCTTTGAAGGCAGCTGTGGCTCAGGAGGTAGAGTGGGTCGTCCACAAATCGGAAGATCAATAGTTCGATCCCTGACTCCTTCAGTCCACATGTCGAAGGATCCTTGGGCGACATACTGAAACCCAAATTGCTCCCAGTGTGTGTGCCAGTAGTGTGTGATTGTGTATGAATTTTAAACTGTGTAGCAGGTGGTCTGGGCTCGGCCACCGGTGTATGAATGAGTGTGTGAATGGGTGAATGTGGCTCTGAAGTGTATTTGCATTTTGATTGGTCTGAAGGCACTATTAAGAGACATTATTTTCACTAATGAAGTTGAGGTGTCTTGACCCTATTTAGTTTTTTGTCTCCACAACTGACATTCAGTTACTCATCCTTGCTCATCCTAAAATCATTATGATTAAGCTTTGAAATGGAGCGAATTTTCTAGTCCTTATTATTGGTGAATACAAAATGATGCTCAGGTCACCTCAGTTATAAATTGGTAATTAATGTAAACATGGAACAGGTTACATTAGTAGAAACCATGATTGTCTCCAGTGTGTTTGGGCCTGAAACCAGCCTCTAAAATACTGACCTGTGAATGGGCTGGAAGTGAAAATGGTTAGGGGTCAGTGTGGGGAGAAAATACACACTATCCTTTGTGTTTTTTGTGCTAATGTCTCGTTTCTCCAGGCAGGTGGATACGAACTCAAAGAACGTCTTTGGGCAGCCTCGGCTCCGAGCCTCACTGAGGGACCTGCGTTCTCCTCGACGGACATACAAAAGCACCATCGAAGATGACCTGAAGAAACTGATCATTATGGACAACGTGGGAGAGACACCACAAAGAGACCCAGTGAGGAACACACTAACATTTGGCACTGTAACATGTTATCAATCAGCAGTCTTACTTTGATGAACTTGCACACACAGCTCTCTGATCTCTGGTCACTTTTATCCCTGTAGTCTCCTAGACGGACCTTGCAGCGCACCTTTTCAGATGAGTCACTGTGCAGCGGGCGCAGAGAGGCCAGCTTCGCCAACTCTGAGAATCCGACGACGCCCACTGACGTACTCTTCACCTGCACACTGCCCACGCGCAGACATGCCGTCTCCTCAAACCACATGCAGAGCAAGAAGGGTGAGTTTAAACTGCAACAACTGTTGTCGTTTTGCTTTCGGGCAGGTGGACGAAACTTGTGAAAATGGTGTTGAGCGTTCGCTGCCAACACTGCTGTGTTCAGTGTGTTAGCTGCCAAGTTTCTCTCTGTGGGGATCGAAGAGGCTCCCTAGTGAAAGCAATCCTTTTATCATTGTTATGCACAAGTTATTTGTGGCTTTCACAACTTCTACAACCCTGTACATAGATGCGCTTGTTTTTATGTAGAGGTTTGTTCACTCACTGCAGCTGCTCTCGTCTCCTGTCCCTCAGTGCCTCTGTCTGCCTCGGAGCTGTCTCTCACAGAAGTTAGAGACAAAGTTCCCCCGCTGAGGAGGCTCGATCCTGGGCTGATGCCTCTTCCAGATACAGCCTGTGGACTGGAGTGGTCCAGCCTGGTCAATGCTGCTAAGGCCTACGAAGGTGAGGATGGAGATGCTTCAGGATTAGGTTTGTTTAACTCACTGTGAGATTCTTGATGTAACAGGTGGGATTTTGTGGATTTTTCTGTTATGGTTTGGCTGAAAGTTACACGCCCAACAGCTTACAGAAAGTGACTTCATGTAATTGATCCATTTAATGCTAAACCAATCAAAATTGATCAAGATTTAAAGAAGAAAAGTGGGATTCATTGAATGTAATTAATAAGCACAAAATGTAAAATCCCTGGTGGATGTGAGACGTATTGTCTGGATGTCGGGTGTTGTCTCGGCTCTCGTCTGTCACACGACACTCCTGGGAAAGAGGGAGTGATTTGCGCCTTCATCTACCTACATGATCGCCTGCTCTGCTTCCCAGCCACTGTTCCTTGTCTGCGTCTCCCTCCCGTCCCTCGTGTCCCCTGCAACCACAAAGACGATCACAGCACAGACAAACACACCAGACTCAAGCCAACACTTGATCCATAACCTTACCTGCTGCCAGCTCCTCCTGTGCTGAGGTGTGATTGTGTCACGTGTCCCGAGGGACACTCGGGTAAAAAAAGACTCGTTTATACAGCTTTTTAGAAAGTGCGATTATGTGTCTCTGTTGCAGCACAAAGAGCAGTTTCCCTCTTCTCACTGACTGAGCCGCAGGTCGGAGGTCCAGACATGAGACCAGTTGTCAGTCCGGTCCAGTTTCAGACTCCTCAGACACCACGGACCACACCAACCTTCAGCAGGTAGGTCAACCTGTGCAAGCCCATTTTCACCAGAATGATTAAAAAAGAAAAAGATCCTGTAAGTCATTAGAAATGAGTTAATACCTCAAAATAATGACTGATTATCTTAAAATAATAACTTAGTATCTCAAAAGGATTTTATTTGAAAAAAGACAGTATCTAAAAATAGAGAAGCTCCTCAAATGATTTAGTATCTCCAAATAATGACATAATATCTCAACATAATGACTAAGTATTTCAAAAATAATGAGTTAGTATCTTAAAAAAAGGACATACTATCTCAAATTAATAACTTAGTATCAAAATAATGACATAACATCTCAAAATTATAATGTATCTCAAAATAATGACATATCTCAAAATAACAACCTAATATGTCAAAACAATAGCAAATAAAACACGTCCGTTTTTGACACTGCTGTGTGTCATTAAAAGACTGATATATATGATATTTGTGAGTGCTGATATTTTGATCTATTCAGTTTGTGATTTTTGGGTCGGCACCCTGTGATTTTTCAGACTGAGTCGAGCATGTCAGTTCTTTTGTTTTGAAAATAATAGCTTAACCTATCAAAATAATGACATGATATCTCAAAAAGAAAAAGACCTAAAAGTCAAAATGATAACTTAGTAGCTCATAAATAATAACATAGTATCTCAAAATAATAACTTTGTATCTCATAATAATAACTTAGTATCTCAAAAAATGACGTAATATCTCAAAATAACAATTTAGTAGCTCAAAATAATGACGCAATATCTCAAAATAATAACTTAGTATTTCAAAATAATGATGTGATATCTCAAAAATAATGACCAAAAAAATCAAAATAATGACTAAGTATCTCAAAACAGTGAGTTAGTTTCTTTAAAATAATGAGTTAGTATCTCAAAATACTAACTTTGTATCTCAAAAAATGACATATCTCAAAAATAATGAAATATATCAAAATAATGAGTTAGTATCTCAAAACAGTGAGTTAGTATATCAAAACAGTGAGTTAGTATATCAAAACAGTGAGTTAGTTTCTTTGAAATAATGAGTTACTATCTCAAAATAATAACTTTGTATCTCAAAATAATGACATATCTCAAAATAATGAGTATCTCAAAACAGTGAGTTAGTATCTCAAAAATGACGTAATATTTCAAAATAATGACATAAAATACCAAAATAATGACATATCTCAAAAATAATGAGTTAATATTTCAAAACAGTGAGTTAGTATCTCAAAACAGTGAGTTAGTATCTCAAAACAGTGTATATCAAAACAGTGAGTTAGTATATCAAAACAGTGAGTTAGTTTCTTTCAAATAATGAGTTAGTATCTCAAAATAATAACTTTGTATCTCAAAATAATGACATAAAATACCAAAATAATGACATATCTCAAAATAATGAGTTAGTATCTCAAAACAGTGAGTTAGTATCTCAAAAATAATGATGTAATATTTCAAAATAATGACATAAAATACCAAAATAATGACATATCTCAAAATAATGAATTAGTATTTCAAAACAGTGAGTTAGTATCTTAAAAATAATTACATAAAATATCAAAATAATGACTTTGTATCTCAAAATAATGATGTAATATCTCAAAATAATGGCATAAAATATCAGATAATATCATTATTCCAAAATAATGAGTTAGTATCTCAAAACAGTGAGTTAGTATCTCGAAATAATGACATGAGATATCAAAATAATGAGAAAGAATCTCATTCTATTAAACTTTGTATCTTAAAATAATGACCTAATATCTCAAAATAATGAGTTAGTATCACAAGGGGATGTTGTATCAAAAACACAGTATCCAGAAATAAAGAGAAGCTCCTCAAATGATTAGTATCTCAAAATAATGGGAACCTTTCTCAAAATCATGAGATAGTATCTCAACTATTAAGCACGTCGTTATTTTGATGAAGTCTCTGATTATAATGACTTGCGGGATCTTAATTTTCATTGCCGTCAGGCAGACTTGACGAACAGTCATGTGAAACAGTGCAGTCAGAAAGCTCTATTAACTTATCTCTTTGTCACTACTGCCACCTTGTGGTACTTTACTGAACTGAACGTGAGCAGACTCTCCAGCTTGTGAACTCCTCTGTGAATTCTCACTAAAGTAAACAGTTTGTTGTTTGAATTATTGTTTCAGTCTCTGTGTTTCCAGACAGGTTGTTTATTTTTCCTCCCAGTGAGCAGCACTAAATATATTATTGAAACTAAGGAGCTTCAGCTCAAACAGTGTTACACAAGAATTAATGCACTCACACAGACACCAGTAAAACCTGTTCTCTATGCACCTGCACAACCTGCACAGCACTCAGTGTGTGTTTCTCTTTCAGTAGTGTTGTGGTTGTTGGCTCTACATGCAAAGTCATTTGTGGTGTTTGTGTTTACAGCGACGAGGTGCCCAACGACTTGTCTGGTCGGCTCTACCACCTGGAAGTGATGTTGAAACAGCTCAACAATGACCTGGAGAGAGTGAGAAATCTTTTGTTTTTCACATATATTCTTTAATAAACAGGTAATAAAAGTAGAAAAATGATAACCCAGAGCATGATAGTAATGTTACATGCACCCACCAGGATACCATTTGATACTTTTACCTCCTCACGCTATAATAAATCAGCTTTTGAATAAAATGCATTCTTGTGTTTCCTGTGTTTTAAAGATGAAATTTTACCAAAAAAGTTTTTACCGGCACCTCTAAAGCTGTCTAATCAGTGTTCAAAATTATTGTTATTTTAATTTGTTCACAAACTGAAGTCTAAAAACGACAAGATGAGATTTTTGAGGGGGGTTGTGGTGCTCATAGACACATTTTTGTTACTGCAGAGTAAAGCCAGGTCAGCTGTTTGCCAGTTCCCAGTAAATATGCTAAGCTAAGCTAACGTTCTCCTGGCTGTAGCTTCATATTTAGCTGACAAACAGCAGAGTGGTATCGATCTTCTCATCTGACCCTCAGCAAGGAAGCAAATAAGAGTATTTCTTATAAAGGTCAAACTATTCCTTTAATATCAGCAAAACTGAAACTGACTCTTCTTCTCTCCTCACGTTGCCGTCACCAGGAGAAGCAGGATAAAGTCGTCCTGCTGGCAGAGATGGCCAACCTGAGAGAGAACAACCAGCGCTTACAGGAGGAGAGCCTGACAGCCAGCGAGCAGCTGCGCAAGTTCAGCAGGCTTTTCAATAACGCCGACAACACGGAGCGTGACCACGAGCCTCACTCCTTAACACACGAATCTGACTCAAAGAGGGAGTGATGCCTGCAGAGGAAGAAGAGATTGAGACCACAGAGGGAGGGCGGCTGTGAGAGCACCCAGGATTCCTTGCACACAGCGGCGGCAGAGATCACACTGACGTCACCTCACTCAGCTTCCACTGGACTGCCTTAAACCGTAGAGAGAGCAAGACAAAAAAAAAAAAAAGATTTTTAAAAATGCAACACTCCCAGACGGAGCAGAGACCCTCCCTCTCTATTCTCTGAGCCCGTTTATTTTATTTTTATAAACTGAAGTCCAAAAGTCTTATATACCTGTCATATATATAAATACATATGCTACTATGCCAGAGGAGCGAGTCAGAGAGGAGACTGTTTTCGAGAACACTACATCACCTGGAGAGGCCTAATACTGTTCCTGCAGCCAATCAGCCAAATAAAAGACTCATTACAGACTGCATCTCCCAGAATGCACTAGAAGTAATGGAAGCTCTACAGACATGGTACTGTAGATACATGCCTGTGGTACAATTCTCATGTATCAATATTACCTATATTGTACTGATATTGTCGTACTAAAGAGATGTGTGTGTGTGAATGTGTGTGTGTGTGTGTGTAACTGATGGTACAGCGAACACTCAGAAACATTATGGCACAACAGTGTTTGTGCTCGAGGCAAGATCCATTTTATTAACCTCTGGTGTGAGCGTGTGTATGATGGTCTGTTATAGGACGTGTTGAGTGATGAACAAACTAGTTTACTGTAATATGAACACTTGTGGGCCACGATACTTTTCTTTCCTCCGTTTACATGGATGAACCCGCGGCCCTTTAGATGTGAAACAAGCCATCAGCGTGTTGAGCGAGTGTAAGTGGTCGATGTCATGAAGCTCAGTGATATTAATAGTATCATATCTCTAATGTAGTGCATTGTTTTGAACTTAATTTTCACTGTTTTCAGCAGTGCCGTATCATCTCAGATCTAAATGTACTGGATAATTATTTTAACCTTGAGTCGTTGTCTCGGTGCGTCTTACAGATGATCTTTTTTTATATATGTATTTAAAGCGGTGGTTTGACATTTTGTGTTTGCTTTATGGCAGAGACTTTCTGTTAAATACATTAAGGGGACAGCCAACAAACGGTTATTAGCCTAGCATGAAGACTGCATACAGGGGAAACTCGCTCTGCTCAAACATAACAGAATCTGCCTACCAGCACCTCTAAAACTCACTAATTATTAACAGCCATGACAGCTTCACCTTGTGAGTTTGTGTGTGTGTCATCATGGCAGAATGTGGTCCTGGTGACACCAACTGTGGACTGAAGCAGTTTCAGTACTTTGTCAGGTTTTTATTAGACTGTCTGTGGACAGATATTGTCACCGCGACAGTGTCACATCCATGCAAGATGCAGTCACAAAACTTTACAGGTGTTAAGATCAAATTGAAGGCCTGGTTTGAGGATGGGTGTGGTGCGAGCAAGGGCACCAGAAGTGGGGGATAGGAAGCAAGGAAAGGACCATTGCCTCCTCTCAGAGCCACACTGGTTTTAAATCACAGATCAAAGTCGCAGCTGGTGTGATTTCATGGTAAGATTGTCTCTAGTCAACACGTTGTAAGTTTTTTAATCCCAAACAAAAACAAGTTCTAAAGGACAATACACCAGTTTACAGCCAACATCCAGGTGTTTCCGCTGGTCGTCTGGCAATTTGTCCTGATGTTATTATAGTCTGTATAAAATAATGGGCGTAGCGTTATGTCACCCTTTGGTTTGTGGACTCCTGCCGTCTTGTTTTTTTGGTGCCAGGAGTGACCAAATTTGGACGAGAGGGTGCAACTGACTCAGACTGTAGTGACACCTCACAGACAGCCTGTCACTCAAAGCATCCTGCCCTGAAATATTTGTAACTTTAAGCCTTTATATAATATAAATGGGCAAGTTATATACAACCTAACCTCCTGTACAGTTGTCATGAACAAGTGAATTAGCTCTAGAGACCCAAACCACTTTTTGTACCAGGCTGTACACACATTTAAATCTGCTGTAAAGTTGGGCATTTTAACATGGAGGTCTATGGGGATTGACTTGCTTTTGGAGCCAGCCCCTAGTGGCCATTAGAGGGGTTGCAGTTTTTGGCACTTTCAAGTTGGCTTCATTTTTCAGCTGCGTAGTTTGCTGCTTGGGTGTTAAACAGAACTCTGTGACCTGATGAGCAATTCCATCTAGCCAAAAATATCACCTTTAAGGACTGTCGGGCTACATACATACTTGATTTCGATAGCTGTTACCAAACATGGTCCCCTTATAGTATTTAAGTATAAAAAAACAAACTAGATTTACCATGTTTATTAATGAACTTTGGATGTGCTGGTAGGTGGACTTTATTTCTGTTGGACAGAGCTAGCTCCAGTCTTCATGCTAAGCTAAGCTAACAGTCTGTTTGCTTTAGCTTCATATTTAACTGACAAACACGAGTGGTATCAATCCTCTCTGACTCGCCACTAGAGGTAAATAACTGCATTTCCCCAAAATGTCAAACTATTCTTATAACTGCGTCTTCTTTGCATACTAATCAAGATGAATCTGCCACCCGTAACGTGTGCTTACAGAAAACATTTACTGTACATGAAACTCACTCGACAACACTGAAGCTCCGTCATATCAGAACCAGTCTGTCTGTGTGTGTGAGCGGATTTGTCCCCGTGTTCTGTGACGACCCAAGATGAACACAAAAGACACTATTTATACTGCTAGCTTGCTTAACGATATTGTCTACTATATCTATTTTTCATACGGAAACAATGTGTGGTTTTTTTGGACGCTGGTACTGAATGGACACTACATCCCTGCAGAGGGTGACTCTAATCTTCCTGTCGGTTTAGATATGCTGATAAAATTGTACTACATGGTCACGTCCTGCTCTGCCCTGCAGGACGGCTACTTCTCTGTCGTCAGGAGCTTTCTTCCCTGGTCAGACTGGAACAGTTGAATTTTGAATCCCAACTCACTCAGGTTCCTCAAGATGCTGTTAAAGGACACTAAACATTAGCTAGGAGTGGGCGATGTGACGCAACCTGAGGCAATTTGCATTTAGCCGTACAGTTTATACTTTTGTGGTTATCCCTTTAATATATCTGGGTGTATTTGGTCATTACAGGCAGAGACACAAATTCATCTGCAAGATTTTTCATGAAGTTGACCATATTGATATCTTCATTTAAGATGCCATGACAACAGATTCTATCCATGTCGCCCACTCCTACTGTCAAAACTACTTTTCTTTCACTGACTCGGAGCTGGACAGAAAACTGCCACTTCCTCCTGCTCTCATGTCTCCGCCTCCTTTATTCCTCTGCAGCCAGTTTGCCAGTTTCAAGTTGTCACTTTGATACCAGTAATGTTTGTACCTGTGTGGACCTTTAATGGGGTTCAGAGTCTCAGAGTTGAAGTGACACACTCCTGTTATTCCTGCTTCATCCGTGCAGCTTCAGCTGTGACTTTAGTATCTGCAGGTGTCTTTAGTTCGCTTATGTAAAAGGGGCAAGGTTTCTTTTTTTTTATATAGTTAATGTTATGTATAATTTTAAGCTATTTATAGCATACACAATGATCCCTGTTGAACAAATCAATAATGCATTATGGTTAACGGTAATATTGTATAACTAGGTTTGTTTTTTTTTAGATGTTAAATATTTTGATAATTTATTTTTTAACACATTCCCACTGTTGCAGACAATAGTGAAGATGAGAGGGTACTGTGTTTTTATTTGTTTATGCCGTTTTACTTCTGATTTCTGTACAAAAACTGATTTGTATGATTCCTTGTCGTTTTTCTATTTTCTGGCATCATCGTTTCCCCGTTTGTGTGTTGGTGCTTTCTGCGGGACGCACAGGCAAAATGTTTTTGGTTGGACATTGTTTTCTTTGGGTTGTAATAATAACTTGTACATTTAAAAGTGTAAATTATGTTTTCATTATTTTATAAAAAATATATTAAAAATAATTATCAGAACACTGGCTGATTTTCTATTATTTTTTTTCTTTCAATTTTCGACAATAGTACCTCATTTCTTTGAAGGTACACAAGTGGTAGTAAATAGGATTGTGCCGAATTCTCTGACGAAACAAGCATTCCGTACTGATAATGTATTTTTTAGGAGTATGATTGTCATCTGAGTAAAAAGTGTCCTTATTTGTGATGAGGGAAATTCTTAATTTTGGGAGCTGTGTTCAATCTTTGTGATCAAAAAAGATCTGAAGCTCAATCCTGAGGCTGTTCTGTAAATAGATTTCTAATAAATGATAAATAGAGCAACTTATGATCATCCATATCAATTTCAGGCTTAAAATAACAAGCTCTGATGATTAGGCCCTGCCCATTTCCAGTTTTCCAAGTCCCATTCACTTCCAAGTTTTAACCCATTAAACCCATGCAGATACAATCACTTTAGAAGTATTTTACTAAATAGTTCACATTTTCTGATTTGTATATGAAACATCAGGACATACACATCATTTAAAGGGCCCATGGTGACGTCTTAGTTTTCTTTGACCAAATGTTAAAAGCCCTAAAATATTTCATTTTTGCATTTTAAGACCATGAAAAGTAGAAAATCACCTGGCACTTTTACTTCATAAACGTCTGAAACGATTCAACAGTATTGTAGCTTGTAGACTTTGAACATGCAGCAATAATGGATCCAACTTTTAGTTAGAAAATAAACAATTGGCAACTATTTTCAATTAAAAAATTCTAATATTTTACTGGTTTCAGGCTCCAGCACTGCTGCTCTTCTCAGTCTTACTGTAACCAAATGTCTTGTGTGACCAACAATCCAAAACTGAAAATACTCTGTAATGTAAGAGAGTATTTTCAGTGTTGGACTTTTGGTCACACAAGACATTTGGTTACATCTACTATGGCTATGTGATGAACATTTTTCACTTTTAATTAAAAAAACAAACTAAAAAAACAGCTCACATCTTACTGTGCTTGTCTATTAAGCCTTTTGAAACCTGACAAAATTGGCTTGGTTTCTTTAAAACATGGGGGAAAGGCCCCCCCAAAAATTGTGAGAAAATAGTCAAGAGAATAATAAACAAACAAGTTTTTAAAAAAATAATGAAAAAAGAAAACAAAATGACCTGGAAAAACAGCTTAAAAATAACATTTTTTTAACATAATTTTTAAATATACATTATTTTTCTGTAGTTTTTCAACAAATGTCTAAATCTATAAAGAAAAGAAATCACACCAATTTAAATATTGTGAAATTTAAATACTTGCAAAAAGCATCTGAAAGCAGCACAGGGATTTATGTCACTCCAGGTTTCAAGGGATTAAATAATTCATTATAATAAAAAGTAGCTGCAGCTCTGCAGCACTTGCTTTGGTCTCTGATGGGGTTTTTTTTTCCACCAGCTCACACACATGTACACATACACACACACCCAATTAAACTTGCATGTAAACTTTATTCTCTATTACAAAGTTATTTAATTTCCAACATAAAATACATTTTGTAGTAAGTGAGTGCTTTCCTCTCTTTGACATTGGTGAGCTGACAACCATTTTATTAAAACTTTATACATTAAGGAGCTCGTTAGAGTGAGGTTTATGAAAAATGCTCAAGTTTTGGCTTTAATATTTGCACTTGCATAACATCGGGCTTCAAGATCAAGTAGCATCAGGTGCATTCACACGACAACCTGACGCCTCAGCAGGTAACAGAGAGAGAACACGTCTAAGATCCACACATTAAGCAATCGTCTTTGTTCTGCAGAGAGCACACCATGGCAGCAACGTTACGCTCTTTGATCTCCTCCTCTGTGGGTTTGACCGGCTCCTGCGTCTCCTTCAGTTTCTCCTTGTTCAGCGTGAACTGGATGGGGTTGGCGGCAGGCTTCGTCCTCAGGTAGTACATCCCCGTCTTCAGACCCTGTGGCGAGAGTGAGACATGAGTTTAACACCTATAGCATTCACAGCAGGAAGTTCTCTCTGTTAAAATCCTCCTGTCCTCACTTACCTGTTTCCAGCCGTAGAAGTGCATGCTGGTCAGTTTGCCGTAGTTTGGCTCTGCGATGTGGATGTTCAGGGACTGGCTCTGGTCAATATATGCGCCACGGTCAGCGGCCATCTTGAGTACGGTCTTCTGGGAGATTTCCCAAACTGTTTTGTACAGCTGCTTCAGATCATCTGGGATCTCATTGATGTTCTGTTGAAACAAAAGTTTTCTCTCATCAAACCACACGGTAACAAACAAAATAATGAATCAGCATTTTGTCATGTAAAAAGTTTGCTTCCTGCTCTGCGATGTGGGCGTGACAGATCTGGATGTTTTACCTGAATGGATCCGTTGTGAGCGATCAGCTGGTTCTTCATCTCCTCGCTCCACAGTCCCCTCTCCGTCAGGTCTTTGAGCAGATGAGGATTGACGATCTGAAACTCTCCAGAGAGGACCCTGCGGGTGTAGATGTTGCTGGTGTAGGCTTCGATGGACTCGTTGTTGCCCAGGATCTGGGCGGTGGAGGCCGTGGGCATTGGGGCGAGCAGCAGGCTGTTCCTCACGCCATGCTTGGCGATCTTCTCCTTCAGCAGCTTCCAGTCCAACAGGTCGGTAGGCGTCTTCTTCCACATGTCGTACTGCAGGATGCCCTTGCTGACGGGAGAGCCTTCGTACGTGTCGTAGGGGCCGAGCTCAGCGGCCAGCTCGCAGCTCGCCTCTAGGGCGGCGTAGTAGATGGTCTCAAAGATGTGAATGTTCAGGAGCTGAGCCTCGGGGCTTTCAAATGGGTGACGCATGAGGATGAAGGCGTCTGCCAGACCCTGGACGCCAATTCCTATCGGCCTGTGGCGCTTGTTGGAGTACTCCGCCTCAGGCACTGGGTAGTAGTTAATGTCGATGATCTTGTTCAAGTTTTTGACAATGACTTTGGTCACTTGTGCCAGTTTTTTAAAGTCAAAAGTCCGCTCAGGGGTGACGTACATGTTTAGTGCGATGGAGGCCAGGTTACACACAGCTACCTCATCATCGCTGGTGTACTCAACAATCTCTGTGCACAGGTTGCTGCACTTGATGGTGCCCAGGTTCTGTTGGTTGCTCTTCCTGTTGCAGGCGTCTTTGTACAGCATGTATGGTGTACCAGTTTCTGTCTGGGACTCGATAATGGCGTGCCACACCTGCTGAGCCTTCACCACGCGCTTGACCCTCCCCTCCTTCTCATAGGACGTGTAGAGCTTTTCAAACTCCTCCCCCCAGCACTCGTCCAGCCCGGGGCACTCGTTGGGACACATCAGAGACCAGTCTTGGTTGCTCTCCACTCTCTTCATGAACAGGTCGGGAATCCACAGGGCATAGAAAAGGTCTCTGGCTCTCTGCTCCTCCTTTCCCGTGTTCTTCTTCAGCTCCAGGAAGTCAAACACATCAAAGTGCCAGGGCTCCAGGTACATGGCGAAGGCTCCAGGCCTCTTGTTGCCGCCCTGGTCAACATAACGTGCTGTGTTGTTGTAAACTCTCAGCATGGGGACGAGCCCGTTGGAGTTGCCGTTGGTGCCAGCGATGTAGCTTCCTGTTGATCTGATGCAGCTCACCGCCACGCCGATTCCTCCAGCTGATTTGGAGATGAGGGCGCACTGCTTTAGCGTGTCATAAATGCCTTCGATGCTGTCGTCTTTCATGGCGAGCAGGAAGCAGCTGGACAGCTGGGGCCTGTTGGTGCCTGCGTTGAATAGCGTAGGGGAGGCATGAGTGAACCACTTCTCTGACAGCAGGTTGTAGGTCTCGATGGCTGCGTCAATATCTGTTTTGTGGATCCCGACGGACACTCTCATCAGCATGTGCTGCGGTCGCTCGGCCACTTTGCCGTTGATCTTCAGCAGGTAGGACCGCTCCAGAGTCTTGAAGCCGAAGAAGTTGTAGGAGAAATCTCTGTCGTAAATGATGGCGGAGTTGAGGCGGTCTTTGTTCTCAAGAACGATGTCGAGCGTCTCCTTGGAGATCATGGGAGAGTGGCGTTTATTCAAGGGGTTGACGTAGTTGTACAGATCCTCCATCACATCACTGAACACCTTCTTGGTCTCTTTGTGCAGGTTTGAGACGGCGATCCGCGCAGCAAGGATGGCGTAGTCGGGGTGTTTTGTTGTTAGAGTGGCGGCGATCTCTGCGGCCAGCGTGTCGAGCTCCACAGTGGTGACGCCGCTGTACAAACCCTGGATCACCTTCATGGTAATTTGGGCCGGGTCTACAAAGTCGGAGTTCAGTCCGTAGCACAGCTTCTGGATGCGAGAAGTGATTTTATCGAACATGACGCGCTCTTGGCGTCCATCTGAAAAATAAACAAATTAAAAAAACCTGTCAGTTAACACAATCACCACCGACTAAAGATGTCAGTCAGCAAAATTACACAATCAATAGAGTAAAGATGAAACTGTGATAAAACTCAATCATGATAAATCTAGTGATTGTTATGTGTCAGGGATTTTCAACTTTTTTTTTTTTTTTTTTTTAAGAAAAACACAATACACTATATTTCACATAATAAACTTCTAACTTTTTTGTTCACTTTCATCCTTTTAACATAACAAAGACATCTTGTTGCATCAGTTGGCTTCTTTTGGGTCTATTGTCCAATTTCCTTTTAGCTTTCCTGTTCTGCTGCTGCTGCTTTAAGTGACACAAGTGAAATATCCCTTTTAAATATAAATAATAACAGTAATAGTGTCTATTAAACTGAATACAGTTGATAAAATGAATCATATTTGGTCATTAAATAATTATCATGTAGTCAAAGTAGCCGTGCTACAGTGTAAAAATCCTGTCACAACTAAAAGGTGATGCCTTCAAATCTTACTTAAGTAAAAGTACATATGTTTTATTAATATAAATACTCTTAAGGAAAAAGTACTGGATTATTACATTTTAAAGTGATACATTATCACTTTAATGTTGCAGCTGTAAGGGTGGGGCTGATGTTAATGACTTTATGTAGGCTACGACTAGTTTAACCTCTGATAACAT